ACTCTGGTTCTGTGAATATATTTAACATTTTCACTAACAAAAAAGTTTCTAAGAACATAATACAATCATTATTTTTTGAATAATTTAAATATTAGAATTCAGATTGAATGAGAGAAATATGTTTAAAGATAATGACTTTCAGTGAAATATCTGTTAAAGTACACATGTATATATTTAACTCATGCATACAGAGAGAATGATCATCAGACAACAGCTGAGTTTGATCAGTGTTGATTAATTAAAGTGTTAAGTTATTTGAAGGTATTTTATTAAATGGCTTCACAAAAACGTTGGTATTTTTCATGTTTTTTTACTGTAATATATGGACTTGTGAAATTTAATTTATTTTGATAACAGCCCGAGCTATTCCATGGATCATATGTGATGTGTACTAAAAGGTTTTTGTTTATGCTAAATTTAAATTATTTGTATTTCATAGTATTTTTGTTTGTTTATGAACTGATAAGTAAAGGTAAGATTAATGCACGTTTCAATTTTTTTTCATATATAATTTATTATAAGAATGATTGTGTACATTTGTATTATGTGGATTACAAGCATGGTTCATAGATGCAATTGAAAAACATAAAATTATAAATTGCTAATTAAAATTAAATTTAAAGGTTGGATTGATGCAGTTCTGAAATAAAAAATGGAAGGTTGAGCTGTAATATGTAGATTTTATCGTTATAACTCTTTCATCACTCAGTATTTTTTTAAATTGTGTGTAGGTGTTCTGCACTTAATTGCAAGTTTGTATTGAACATGGATCTTCATTTCTAGTCTGTGTGTTAAGCATGATCCTAAGGACTGATCCTTAATCCTGGTTGAAGGTTAGTGTTGAAACATTTGTGTCTTTGCACCTGGATTTCTTGGGTAGTTACTACAGCCCACATGAATGGACAGGTTATTAACATCAATAGCTTAATGTTCATTAGTTAGATCAAGCTTGTGGTAAGGAGTTCTGGGAGATTTGCTGAGCTTGGAATTGAAATATGTATTCTAAATGCAGCAAGAACTCTACAGCTCTATTGTTCTATACTTGGTATATACTAAAGGAACTACAATTTCCCGTGGAAATACTCAGAAACCATGGAGTAGTCACTGGAAAGTTGATAAGAACACTTACCTCTGTATTGCCCCAGTTTGTCAATGAACTATTTTTGTTTTGTTTTTGTGCTTGGAGTACACATTATGTATGTTAATTTGTTTTCTTTTTACAGTTGAGTTGCTTAATATTAAGCTTTGCTTAGGAAACCCAGGTCATCTCATTTTTGTGTTACTACTTTCCTTGTTTTCTAAAAGCCATTAGTTACTTATAATATTTCTTTGGCTTCTTCATTTCTATTTTCTTGGAATATTTCGTAGATCTGTTGTATGATTCTGAAAAATTTAAAGTATGAAGAGTAAATTTTTTATCCTAGTGTCTGAATTTGAACCAAGAGCTTGTATTAAGAAACCATTATAGGGTTTAAAATACTGAAAAAAGTATAATTAATACAATATGCTGTGCATATAAAAAATTGACTTTAATGTACCTAGAAACTGCCTAGTCACTATATAAAACAACAATATTAATTCTGAAATAAAGAGTAAGTCAAAGTAGGATGACATAAATAATAATAACTATTAAAAACGTTTTTTTACTTTTTTTTATTTCTTTCAAAACTTTCTAGTCATGTCAGTTTTATGTAATTTTTTTCACTAATCACCATGTGACGTTGGTATGTCTTAACTTTTATTTACACTAACTGTGGTAATTTTGTAGATATTAATTGAAATACTTTTATATTTCCTTATACACCAATATTTTTGTTTGTTCAGTTTCTTTTGTTTTATGATTTAAACTGTTTTTTTCAACCAAGTTTTGCAAAGTACATAATAACAACCAAATTAAAAAATGTTAAGAAATAGATAAAATTGTTGTAAAGGAAAAATAATAATGAGGTCAATGTTTAGACCAAGTAACTAATGAACGTTGTTTGTTTGAAATTTTGACCACATAATTCTTCTCTAGTTATTTTAACACTTTCTTTGTATTTAAAATTGCAAGACACTGATGTATTTACATCTGACCGTCAAACTTTTCCAACACAAACAGTTCCTAATAGCAACTGTGTAGCTTAAGTTAAAAATTTGATTATGTTTTATCAGTTAATTAATCAAACAGCTATTTTCTTTTTTCTTTCTAGAATGGAGTTAAAACAAAAGAACTTTCCCAAACCTCTTTACCCTGAGGCACAGACAGAAAACCTGAAACTCAAGATCCAGACTCAAAAGGTGATGAAACATATGTGTTTACCATATAATATTGTATGTTTATATATATATAATTTTTATGCAACAGTTTATTTTATGTCATGGCTTAAAGCCACATAAAACTACTGAAGTGACTGAGCAATTAACAACAACTTCATACAGTACCCACAGCCCTCTTCTTCAGCAACTAATGCTTATTAATGTAAAGATGCATGAAGCTGGCTGTAGCTAGCTACGAGGTCACCAAGGACCAGGCCTCAGTTAAAATTTAAAATCAAATGTAATGTACCATATGCTTTTCCATCCATATGGAAAAGGTATTCAGTATGTAAGGCTGACACCATGTGCTTCTTGGTGTTTGGACCTTGGGTAAATTTTTGCTCTAGCTATGGCCATGATCTCAAGACATTTCCTGTAATACCTTTAATGAGCAGTTTGCTTCCTAAGTCTTATACCATTTCAAAATACTCTAATCTGTTCATATGAGCAATAAGTTAGTAAAACAATCAGAATGGTTTATAATTTTTGTATGTTCAGTTTTAAGACAAACCAAGATAACATTATTTATGTAAGTTATATAAATCTAATGGTAATATCAATAATTTAATCTACAAAATTAGCCATTTCAGTTTTATGGTTAGGGATTAATAGCCAAGAAGGAGTTACCGACAAGGTTGCATGAGGAGCTTGTCATGACTGTTTCTAAGATGCTTCAAATGAACAGTAAATTACTAAGTTTTGTGTCTATTCCTTTTAACCAGTTTGAATATATTAACTAGCATATAAAATTATTTAGATATATGTGCCATTTAAAAACTCCCCTAGTATTAGAACTTTACAGACCTGTCACTAATAATTCTAATAGATGTATGTCTGGGATATCAGGTAGCATTGCAATGTTATCCAAGTAGAAAAAGATTAGTATGTTTGTGTGTTTTAGAGCAAAGCCACATTGGGCTGTCTGCTGTGTCTACCACAGGGAATTGAACCTCAGATTTTAGCAATGTAAGTCATAAACTTACTGCTGACCCACCAGGAGACAAAAAAATTAATAGTACCATTCTTTTGTATTTGAAGGTTTTGAACAATATATAACTAATATTTCTTTCCACATTGTGGGAATTTTAATTTTCAGTTACTGTAGCCTCATGCTTTAAAGATTATTTGGGAGATAGTAGAAGAGTGTGTTGTTATTATGTTGATTATCTTACATGATATTACAAGAGTCGGTTTTATACTATAGAACTATCAGCTTCACAGCAATAAGCAGAGTGATAGAGAAAGAAAACCTAAAGAGTGATGTTTACTTTTAAACATATAAATATATTTAATTATGGAAGTATCTTAGTCATCATGATATATATAGAATATGAGCAAAGGAGCAATATCTGCACAGTGTATGTAACCAAAACTTATTATGCTACTCTCAAGTTCAGTTGAGATGCACTTATAATATAGGTGAATGCGTTTGTTATATTCTTATATTTATATTCATGTATTTTAAGCAGATTCAAGAAGAAATGAAACATCTTAAGGAACTGCTAAAGGTTGACAGGGAGGAAAATGAGGTATGTTTTTATCAAGTCTTTGTTTATTACTGACTTTCACATTTTTTTTTGTTGTGACATTTTAGGTGTGACAAGCACAAAACACAACCAGAATATTGTGTTTGGAGACTTTCAACTGTTTTTACTAAGATAGCTCATAACATCTTTAAAAGTAATACATAGATTCCAAATCATAATCAACAGCATAAAATAACTGAACTTTTGGTCATTGTAATTGTATATTAACAGAAACTGTAAAATTAACTACTGTAGGTTTCACTTATGTTAATATTTCCTTTTTTTACTCCATCCACTTTGAAAGTGTAATTCATGTATTGACCATCAACATTACATCAGGTTCCACCATTTGACCTCTTCTTCTCTTGCATTCTGGCTTTTATAATACTCACTTAACAGATTCCAACAAAATTAGGAGGTTGCAAGCCGAGATTACGGGATTGATGATTTATTGTAATCTCAAAAACTGAAATAATTTGCACATTCTAAGAGTATTGTTGGATATACAAGACTGTTTGGTTTAAGAGTTATTATTTAATTTGTTTAGTAATTTAGTATTTAATGATCATTTATTTTTCTTAGCAGGAGAGTTGAAAGTTAATTATTTTGAGGGCGATGATTGTGACAAGTTTCGTTGTGTGGCTCTGTATGAGTCGTATGTTGTGTATGCAGTTTGATTGTTGTAATATTGTTGATGTCATCTTACTCGAAACTTCTAAGTTTTTCTTGTTATGTGAATATTGTTGTCACTAGAGGACTAGATAAATACGTGCAGGTACAGCATGCAAGAAAAAAAGTAGCTAATGCAATAAAATACAGTAAAATCATGCAGATTAGGAAGCTTAAGTAGTTACTCCTTCAGGTTATGCCCTATCCTAATTAAACCCAACAGTATACATACTTGTTAGGTTTCTTGTATATAGGCTTGGATTTTTTTACAGTAGGTGTCTGTGACTTGTTGGCAGTAAATTTGAACAATAAATGGACAGCACACAATTCACTTGTTTTAGAATAATATATTCAAAACAAGTCAAATGTATGTAGAAAAAAAATCGTTACACTATTGTATCCAGAGCTTTAATAATTGTCTCCTTTTCATCAAAGTTCACACAGACTGGTTCTATTACTTTATAACCCAATTGACAAGACAAGTTATTATTTTCTAGCTCTGTTGTTACAATACAAGCTGTGAAACTCACTTCAAAATCACCACTATAACTGTTGGTTACCACAGTTGTATCCAAAACTCTAAATAATTCTCTTTTCTTGTCAAAAGTCTATACAGACTGGTTCTATTACTTTAGAACCCAATTGACAAGACGAATTATTATTTTCTATCTTTGTTGTTACAATACAAGCTGTGAAATTCACTTCAAAATCACAACTATAACTGTTGGTTACCACAGTTGTATCCAAAACTCTAAGTAATTCTCTTTTCTTGTTAAAAGTCCACACAGGCTGGTTCAATTACTTTAAAACCCAATTTACAAGACAAATTATTTTTCTCTACTCTGTCTTACTGTACAATTTGCAATAAATTCATTTACATTACACCCCGTATCCAGAACTTTAAATAATTGTTTCTTTTTTGTCCAAAGTCCACACAGGCTGGTTCAATTATTTTAGAACACCCTTTGACAAGACAAATTATTTTCCTTTATCTCTGTTAAACTATGAAACTCACTTTAGATATTGCCTATTATGGTGCTAAACTAACAATCATGCAGTCTAACTTCACTTTCACAACCTCAACTCTAATGTCATATAAGAGCTAAGAATTCTGACAAGAGAGGTTTTAAAAACTCCATATTAAGTTATTTTACATCAGACTTATTTGTAGAGGATTTTACCTATTTAGCACAAGAGGATTTATTTTCCAAGAAGGAAATGCTTATCTTACTAAGAAAAGCATTACCTCAGCTTTTAAAAAATTTCTTATAAAAAGAGGGTTTTCAATTTTTTGTCTTTTCTTCCCTTTCTCTGTCTTTTTCTTTCTCTTTTTTAGAAGTTCTCTTTTCTAATCTTTTTTAATCAGTTGTAGACATGCAGTTCTACAGATTATTTCTTTTTCTGTGAATGTTTTTTACAACTCTTGATGCAAAATGTACACAGAAGAACAATTCATGCATTTTTCAGAGGGAGTACATATTTGCATTAAAAACACATAATTTATGATGCAAAAATAAGCAATCTTATTTTTACTGGAGATTTGTCTTCATATATCAGTATCTTTACATTTATATTTAATTGGTACCTAGTATATATATTATATTCCTACTAGTACATGAATTAGTGAATATATTATGGAAGTTTCATTGCAAAATTCTGTAGTCTATAAGAGTGAGCAGTTTTACTTTCAATACTTTAGATTTTTGTAAGAGTGAGGGGTCTATTTTGAAAGATTTTGTTATATATGAGAGTGAGAGTATATGTATAATAATTAATAATAATTGTAGATTATTTGTACTGTACTTTGAGTTACTTAAACTGTTATGTTGAATGTCAAAATAAATTTCTCTAATCAAAATATGAATATTAATTTGTTCCAAAATACTTGCAATAGTTATCTGACTGAAAATAGTTCTCAAATTAAGCTATTCATGAATTAAATGTGAATGAAAAAGATGTATAAAAAAGAATGTTCATTTTCCTTATTAAATCTTTCTAGAAAACTGTTGTGGCATTGAAAAGAGCAAATGAAATGATGCAAGAGTATTTGGAGCTTATGAAGCAAGCAGAAGAAGAAAAAGATGCAATAAAGATGGAGCTTAAGCAGGCTAATATTGAAATTCAGAAACTACAAGAAGATTTTGTCAATCAGGAAATAAAACTACACAAAGCGGAAGAGAATCACCAAGATGTTGTGAAGCAGTGGAGGATGAAGGTTTGTTTAACTAACCTTGACCCACTTATGATTTGAATGTTTAAACTGCGTTTCTTGACTGCAATAGTTTCTTTAGTTGATTACTTAATACTGGTTTAATGTGATGCTTCCAGTAAAAAAATGTATTTCCTTAATAATACTCAATTGTTTTTTTACATTAGTTTGACTTTATTGCAAACGTATGAAATCATGCACACTACTAGATATATGCAGTACCTTATTCTTTGGAAGTTCAAAAAGATTTTTTAATTATGATGACTTTTGTTTCTAGATTTAAAATGTTTACTCAAATTCTACTAGATTACTACATCTTTATTTTTCAATTAATATGGCTCCTGATTCTTTAACACTAGGTTAAGATAAACTATTTTCATTTACATAGAAGTACTCATAAATATAAGTAAATAAGTTACTTTAACTTGTTATTTATACTCAAAGTCGTAATGCTTGATTATGATACTCAGAGACATACCAAGCTTATTTTATTTCATTTTATTTAAATCTTTAGAATTATGAAATTCTACTTTCAAGATTTCTGGCATATGTAAGAGTGGAAGTTCCTTGAAGGATTTTCTACTCCATGAGAATAATAGGGTTTACTTTCAAAATTATCTGTGGAGTGTGAGATATATGATGGAGACTTGAATAGACTCTAGAAATGAAAGGCTTATCTTTCAATAGCTTTAGGATTGTGAGCCTACTTTAAAAGGTTTTTTTTTATTTTGTAAAAGTGAGGAATTATAATGCTAAATATCAGGTTTTGATACCCTTGGTGAGCATAACACAGATAGCCCATTGTGAAGCTTTTCAGTTAACAACAAAAGAAACATATTAAAGGGAATAAGAGTTATTTTGTATACATCAAATAAATTTGAATTGGAAGGTTACCCTTCAATATTTTTTTATATCTGTATAATTGGGAAACCTACCATTAAGGATTTTGTAGTTTCTAAGAGTGAGAAGATTACCATTCAGTATTTTAAATATATGTATCTGAAGATGGTAAGTCCACCTTAGAGGACTTTGTTTTCTCTAGAAGGTGGAAGATTTGCTTTCCAAATTTGTAGTTTCTATAGATCTGGGGGTCAACGAACTTTTCTGCCTCTTTGTTGGTCAAGTTTGATTTTGCAAAATTTATATATTTCAGTTTGCTATGAAATGTGAGGTTAGGGTATACTATGGGGTAGTACTTGCCCCGTCACTTTTGATGGGCTATATGCTAATATGTATGTATATATATACAAAAATGCTAGTGTGTCACGTCACGCTTGATTTCTCGAAATAAAAGGTGTCATAAAAGCCAAAATGCATTTATCCAGATCGAATAGTTCCATTACTGTCTGTCCATTATGATTTTAGTGATGGGGGGTGCAAAGGGGCCGTGAAACCTTATAAGCGTAGTGAGTGTTGGTATAATAAGCCTAAAATAAAGATGTAGCATGGGATCACCTAGCCTAGAGCCAAGTGCATAAAATTTATCATGAGAGTAAAAAATATCGATTCAATTTTAAACTTAAATCATTTCTGAATTAAGCTATTTTCTGTTATATCCCCAACCCTTTTTAATATAAACAAACCTCTTTAATCAACGGAGACTCCAAATTAAGAAATCAATAATTATTTTTCCAGTTTTGTTGTTTATACATTTCATTTTATACTTTCAGTACATAGACTACCAACAATATTAGCTTATACTTTGTTGCTGAACAACATGACATAAAAGCCATTGTTGGAATGTAGTGTTACCAAAATGCACTGGCTTTTCTGTATATTAGAAGTTATTAATCTAACTGATTTTTACCAATAATTATTCTATGAATATGCCATGAATTCATTTCATGAATGATCTTAATTTTGATTGGCTCACAAGGGAACTTACCAATGTTTGACTGCCTTGACTTAGTTGTTGGAAAGTAGCTAGCTTTCCACAACCCCAAATAACAGAAAAAATCGTCAATTAAAGGTACCATCTAGCCATTTCTAGAAATATTAAAAGCCTGAACAAGAAACATTCCAACTTCAAGAAATTAATGAAAATCCTTCAGGGTTGATTACTACGTAACAGAAATATTATAAATGTTAAGAAAATATCTTTTCCCAAAAGTACAAAAATTCTCAAAAGTATATATATCTAACCTATATTGGTAATCCATTTAAAGATTTTAAGCTTTATGAGAATGAATGTATCTCTTTGATAACTTGTGAAATACGTTTTCCTGAATATTTTGTTAGCTTCTATGGCTAGAGAGTTAGTTTCAAATTTACCTTGTATAGCCTCTTATCTCTCAGAATGAGGGTGTTACTTTATAAATTTGAAGTATGATCTCTAGGAATGAGACATCTATATTGCAAGATATTTTATCTCCATAGAAGTGGCCCGGCATGGCCAAGTGGTTAGGGCACTTGACTCGCAATCTGAGGGTTGCAGGTTCAAATCCCCGTCTCACCAAACATGCTTGCCCTTTCAGCCATGGGGGCATTATAATGTAATGGTCAATCCCAGTATTCGTTGGTAAAAGAGTAGCCGAAGAGTTGGCAGTGGGTGGTGATGACTAGTTGCCTTCCCTCTAGTTTTTCATTGCTAAATTAGGGACGGCTAGCACAGATAGCCCTTGTGTAGCTTTGTACAAAATTAAAAACAAACCAGACTAATCCATAGAAGCTGGGAGGTTATCTTTTAAAATAGATAATGTCTTTAGATGGTGTTTGAAGTATTTAGGAAAACCACTGAGAATATTTCACATTTTTAAGATTTTAATATCTTTCATGAAAAAATTTAAAACATTTAATCACATCATTAATATTAAAATTAGTCATACATCTAAATCTATGAAGTCTACCTCAAATAATGTGACAGTGAAATATTACCATTAAAAATCAGTAAAAAGTGTGTTTAGATAAAGTAAAATACCCTAGAAAATTTTTATGCTGGACTAGAAAGTTTTTTTTGTAGTACTCTGACAAATTTTTACAATAGTAATTAAAATAATTGAAACTAAGGAAAATCTTTCAAAGCCTACTTAGAGATAAGACATCTTATTATACAATTTTCTACATGAACCATACATACATTCCACTTTAAATTTTGCTGAGTGATTCTTGTGGAAAAGAATAAATCATATTTACTAAATATTATTATTTATGTTGGCTAATGTAATATCCCTTGTAAAAAACGTTCATGTCACATACATATTATACATTAAACTTCTGAACTGTTGACTGTAGAATTGGGAATTGAAAAAGAATAAGCTACAGTAATGTATAAACCTAATCCACCTGAGTCAGGGATGTTTTAATAAGCTTTTGAATTCTTTATCATGGTGATAGAATTTAAGTAAGATCAAGTTCAAAGTTCAGTAAGATTTTGTGACTCCTGAACAACTACTTTTACTTATTCTTTCTCCTTCCGCAGGAGTTAATGAAGGATGACAAATGTAACAAAGACACCCAGACCAACAGTCCTGAGGGTAAGATAGGAGTTGGAACTCAGACTATGTTAAGTTCATCCAAATTACACCTGGTTCAGCCAATTTCAGAAGATGCTAGAAAAATGAATAAAAACAGCAGTAAAGAAGACCAGAAAAAGAATATAATAACAGAAATTGAGGTTGCTGATGAAACATTTAAGTGTTTGACTACTGACACAAATGAAGAAACCAAAATAATGCAATCAAACATTTGTACAGATAATTCTGTAATCTCTCAAGGAGTACAAAAGCATCAAGACAACATGTGTGTTTTGCTTCATCAGATTTCAAATTGTTCTCCAAAATCAAAATATAATGATTTCCAAGAAGTCAAAGCAAATGATTTCATGTGGAATGAAGAAAGTTCACAGTTGCAAGATCAACAAGAAGCAGGTTTTAATATTCAAAAGTTCGAGGATAATAAAGAAGCAGTGAACATCCAGCCAAAAAACAATAAAGCTATTGCAATTTCTTTCAAATCAGTCGAAAAGAATGATAAAAGTTATTTGTGTTCTACAGTAGTCTATGGTTCAGATAATTGTGTAATGAATAAACCTATTCAAGAACTACATGACAACAGAAAAACAGATGAAAAAATTAGTTCATCATCCAATGTTGAGTGTCAATTCAAAACAGAGAACTCAGTCTCTACGTGTTCAAGATCAGTCAAAGACACTGTGATGAATGATAAATGGATATTAAAGAATATGAACATAGAACCTGAAGAAATTATTGCATTATCAGACCATTCTTTAAAAAATAATGAAATTTCTGGAATAGATAGAACATTCAGTACATTGAATCAAAAGTCTCTCTCACAAATAGATAACAAAGAAAATATCATTGGTCAGAAAGGAGCATCACAACATTGGGTTCAGAGTGAACCATTGTTGTTAAGTTATTCAGATACCTCTTTTGTTTCTAGTTTTCCAAAATTTTTTAACAATGAGTTGAGTTGTGAAAAGCCAAAGACTTCTATTTTCCATGAAACAGTAACACAGTACACACAGAAGAAACAAGCTTTAACAGTTACAGATAAAAATTCATTGCAAACAAGTTACAGTAATACTAAATCCTCTTCTTCCATGTCTCTAAAGCTAAGTTGTCAGGTATGTACAAGACCTACATCTACCTACTCTAACACATCATTGAAATTAACTGCAGAAACTACAAAAAGTAGCTGTGTCACTGAGAAAAACCACAACAAGATGCATTCTTTTCATGTGATTTCTCAACTAAATGACAAAGGAAATTACGAGATAGCTCATATATCAGATTCAGTCTCTAATTGTTATACCACATCATTAGCTACAACAGCTGCTAAAAATAATTGCTTCACTGAGAACAGTCCAGTGTCTTCCAGTAAGTTACTGGTCACTCAGAAAGTTGAAAAAGAAACTGTATCATCAAAAGATAATACCTTAAAGTTATCATTTCAAGATCCAGATATGACAATAAACTATAAAGATGAACCATTTGTTCTTGATATTTCAAAGAAAAGAGAGTTTATCCAACAGAAAATACTACAGGATAGAACTACTGATAACCATGAGAAAATAACAGTATTAGTATCTACTGATTCCTATATTAAGGAGGATTCAACAACTTCAAAGGGTTTGATACAATCTGTTGCTCTAACAGAACCTTCTAATATCCAGCAGAAAGAACCCAGCAAAGATGTTCTGTCCTTAACTCATGGTGAAAAAATGTCATCTAATGAAAAGGAAAAGAGCAAATGTGTTGAACTCCATCAGGTGCAATCAACACACACAACAAAGCAAGATACCTGGGAGCCACCTTTTAAAAAACCTAAAACATTGTAAAATTCTGTTATTTGTTAATTTTTAGTGATTTATATACGTGTATTATAAACATTTTAGATATATAAATACCTTAAGGTTGTGTTCCTTTGTGGTTTTTATTTACATTATTCTAATTTGTGTTATAAAATATTCATGTTTTGCACTTGATGAATCAATACATAAGTTTTTATGTCATCAGCTGGGGTATGAGTTAATTAGACTGATGTCAATACAATACTTATAATTAGCTATATAAACTTAGAAGCAGTATATACACTGAGTGGTCACAAGTAAATAGACACCT